ATTAAACATACAAATTCAGATGAACGAATAAACATATGCAAATATCATATGCTTTGCTTCTTCCTTGTTCTAAATGACATTGTATACAATTTGGTCAAGAAAAATGACTTTGTCTGTAGGTAATTGAGTGACAAGTAAGCAACATATTGTGAGAGGAAACTACAATGTAATGTTATGGAGATGCCTTCTCTATCCTACCTGTCTTTCTTATGTATGGGCCCTAAAATGTGGAGCAAAGTGCAGCAGTGGACAGGGTTATGTGATCTACCAGCGGAGATCTCAGCCTCAGACGTTGCTATTGTGCTGTTATTTATTCATCAACAGTGGAAACCTCTTCTATCTTCTATCACCTGGCGTTTGGATGAGTGAATTTGTCTCCGGGTACCACATGGATTCTGGTAAAACTACAAAATAGAGAAATACAAAACAAAACTTCAGAGCGATGTCTCTTCCTTGCACTTCTGCCTAATTAGCATATCTTTCTAACTAGTGCTAACATAAATCTAAATAAAATTAGCTTTTTACGAGTCATAAACCTAGTACAGACAGGTAAAGCGTCCTAACATAAAGTACTTGGCTATAATATAAAATACATGTAATAAGTATTGCAGCATTGAATTAATCTAGTAGTTAGTATAAATTAACATACATTTGCTAGCATAGCCAATTCAAAATGACAGCTGTTTGACTCACTAAAATCTTGGTATTTCGTCCCGGGCAGAAATGAATATTAGAATTATTTTAATATTAGTTTGAATTTGAGATTAAGAGTCACAGTCAAGTTAATATTGAGGTTAGGGTAAAGTTTAGGGTTAATTACAATTAATGTGAATGTTAGAAACAGAGACTGTAAATATTTTGGAAATGGGGTGAACGAAATACCAAGATTTCAGAGCGAGAGGAGAAAAAAGTTCAAACAGGTCCCTTGAACGTTCTTGTGAATTCACACAATTGAATACATGCATCGTTATTGAGCATATATTTCTAATGCAAAAAGTTAAAGTCACTGTTTATATAGTTTACATCGTTTTCTATTGCGTTTGTCTATGGTTTGACCTCGCTCACCCGGGTGTTCGCGGGAGGTGTTGGATTCTTCGCAGGGCGCACGCCGAAGGAGGGGTGGATGTGTGACCGCGGGGATGTGACTTTGAACCGGCACACGCAGAGGAACACAGCCGCAGCACACAGTTGTCTCTCCCGCAACCCTCTGCTTCAGCCCGGGTGGAAAAGAGGAGAAGGAGCGATCCTCTAGCTCTACATCCTACATCATGAGGAGAAGTGACATGACCTGTGCAAGTAAGAGACACTAATATTTACCTTGTTGCCCCATGTTTCTTGTGCGTTTTAGAAGTGGCACTTTACGTGCATCATTCTGTGGTTTATTTTCACTAGCCACCACCTGTAGCCTGTATACAACCCTGATAATATTGACAAAACAAAAGTGTAATTTACTATTTCTAAATTGAGATTACATTTGTGAAACACTTATGTTAGAAGTCTACTTTAATGGTCAAACACAGTTGATTTGGTGTTTCCCAAAGTGTAGCTGTTTTTCTGACTAATTTATTCCATGTTTTTTGTATCAGTCGGATGGGAGCTTAAAGTAGTGCATACATGTCATACTCAAAGTCCTGGAAAGTACAATATAAATGTCGAGAAGCCATAACAAAACATATAAAATGGTTCAGTCTCTTCAAAACACTTTTTTCCTCTATTTAATCTTTTACATATTTTGCTTTTGCGTTTTCCTTTGAACATTTAGCTGTGTTTTTGTGTTGTGTTTTGGTCAGACATTGCTTCTCTCACAAACAAGCCAAATGCTGTGTGATGTGACCAATGCAGACACCACTGCTGCTCGTCAATAGGCCTGTGATGATCAATAGGCATTGCGTGATGTTTTTGCATTGATTACAGAAACGTGGACTGATGAATGCAACTGGATTTCTCTCCAGGGCTTATGCAGTTCCTGTTTCAAAGATAAAGACAGGCATACAAGCCAGCCGTGCTCCTCTGGGCACAGGCTGCAGGGTAAACCCACAGGTGCTGCTCACGTACAGACTTTAGCAGCAGGAACTTAGTCTGGCGGTAATGCAGAAAAAGAGAAACATGTTCTTGTCTTGTTAGCTTGAAGAAGTGCCACACAGGACTCACTAACTCATCACCCCACTCATTTCTTCAATAAGATCCCATGGTAAGCTCTGTTCTTATATTGTGGGGATACAGTAACATGCAGACCCCACTGTCTGTGAAATGGTATCTGCATTCTCCACATTCTTACTGAGCTTCATCAACACTGAAACACGGGCACTTCCAAAGCAGGGGTTAGACAAGACAGTGCTAGATTTTCCAGTGCTGCAGAAGCTGAAAGGCTTCCAGAATACAAGTTATTATAACTGAGTTCGTCTCACAGGGAAACAGGGCAAACCACCAGTCCAATAAATACATATACTTTTATCAGCGGCTTTTAGAAAATAAAGTGCACTCAGTGGAGGATTTAGCATTTAAGTTGTGTGTTTTGGTTGTTGTATAATCCATCATACCAAGTCTAGTTGCAACAGTCAGAACATTCTCTTAAACTTTAATTTTCTTATATTCTTGTTTAACCAGCCACTAAAATAAATATTGAGGATCCCTGATATGAACAAACTCTAGATTTTCATCACCACTCTCCACAATTTTCAGTGTCTATGTAAGATGTGAAACCCATAACTCCCTGTCCCTCAATTGGCTACAGTAACATCAAATATTATGCTTGTTCTTTGAGTGCCGCTGCTGTAGGTAACTGTAGCTCTGGACTCGGGTCTGTCCTGTGGTTGTCTCCCATTGTTGTCCCGTGTTGGTCTTGTAGCGTGCTGGCTGCTGTCTGGCTCCTCTGGGCGCACAGTGAGCGCAGCAGCCCTCCTCCCGGAGCTCCGCCGGCCCCTCTGTCGCTTTAAGTCCAGCCCCTCGGAGCCAGCCAACAGCAGCTGTTCCATATTCATCAAGCCCCGGAGTCTTAAAGAGCCCTATCCTGAGCATGGAAAGAGTCATTCCTCTCGGCCGCACGCTCATGCTCTCTCCATCTTAGCACTCATCCCAGAGCCTCCGCGTGCTGCTGCTGCTGCTGGTCCCTCCCCTCTCCTCTCTCACACTCTCCCCACACTGTCCGGTGTCAGCTCCACACATGCACGCTCCCAGCCCGTCCCAGTGCCACATACCTGTGCAGGCCGGGGGGACTGCCGCTGGAGGGGCTGCTGCTTGCCGCTGTCTTTGAGCTGCTCTGCTGCGTATGGAAGAAGTTCTCAACTGTTTCCTCTGTCCTCTGCTCTTATTCCTGGAATGCTAAAACTGGACTGATGGACATTTCAGAACTTTGTCTTCCAGACCCTCTCAGCTATCATAACCAGTAGGTGCACCTTCCTTCTCTCACTAACGACTTTTCTTGAGTTTTGTTTGTTTGTTTCGTCAGACTTTCTTTCTGCACAAAGTGTTGCTTCTCCAGCTTAAGAACTTCTTTACTTGTTCACATCGTGCTCCTTCCAAACCAGTGGTAATGCCTTTTACGGATGACATTCCCTCTATTGTATATATTATTCAGAGTGTGACCAATTGATTGTGCGTGCCCTGAAGCAGAGGGGGATATTTGCAAAGAGGCTGAGGTATATGTCTTGTTAGGATGTCATTGACAGTGAGTGTTGATGGCTTGGTTAGCACGCTGTATTAAGTCTGTGAAAAAGTACATTTAAATATGTTATCCCGTAAATGTCAAGTGTTAAATTGCAGCTGCGAGATTGAACTATACTAATATTTATTTTATAAACCATGACACAGAATTACTGCTTCAAGTTTTCTGTTCTACCGTGAAATGGAGCAAGTCAAATTGTTAATAAACTCAATTATACATTTTTCAACTATAACAATTCAAATCATTTTCTATGTATTATATTTATTATTTTATTCTGGACAAATTTTTACAGAAGGATGCTAAACTGGTTCTTGCACAAAATTAATAAAAATAGTTTTAGTTGTTTCAGATTTTTTTCTTCAAACGTTGAACCAATTGAAAGCATTATAATAGTTATTTGTTTTAATTATTTGCTTTTTCATTACTAAACACACTATAATCTGATCATGTGTTTATATATTGTGTTATTGGACACACGGATTTGCAATAAATTGTGGTTCAATCCATTTAATTAGTGAAATTGTATTTTGCGTTTTCCAAAATGTTTGTAAAATTACACATTTTGACATTATTTCGACCAGCGCCTTCTTTGATCAAATCCTTCACAAATTCAGAAAATTCAAAGTGCATTTATATAAATATTAGAATACATAATGTTAAATGACATGAGTCTTAATAATTATAATTATCTACATAAGATAAGAAACATCCCTTGTTTTAAGATCAAATTAGACGAGAACTCCAGTAAGTCAGGTGCTTGAGAATAACTACACACATGCACGTGTGAATTAAAACATGTTCTTTTTATTATTAATATGTTTTCATTTGTCCTTTTATATAAGAAAGTACTTATTTATATGTACCTTTCACAGCGCCTTTTATATATGATATTATCTAGACAGTCACGATGTCTTAATGAGCAAAGAACAGCGTCTTTTACTCTACCAAAAGTTTTGAGGTTTTTTTAGCAACATGAAGAAGACATTGCTTATTCATTTTAACAATTTAACAAAGGTGAATAGAATATCCCCCAGACTCAAACAGAGAGAACGTGTGTGCAGTGGTGACAGCGGCAGCCTTCAGCGCAGCCCTGTCTACTCTGCCTGTCTCTGTGTCTCTGCTCCGGTGTGAGGATTAGTGGGACCAATGCGCTCCATGTAATTAGCACAGTTCTGTTGTAGTGAGCACTCTAAAGACTGACCTCAGGGCTTTTTATGGCCTGACAATCTTTTCTTTATTCCAAAATCGCCACAGCACGGACATGCAGACAAGTTTCTCTCCTGTAATTTTTGCATCAGGCTCTTTCTGTTTTATTGTCCTGCATTTAATGATGTTGTGGTTTGAGTTGTCAAGATGTTTTGCATCTTGACAGTTGGAGTTTGAGAAACACGGGGCAGTATCTTGAAATGTGGTTCTTTATTTCAGAATCAGAATCAGAATCAGAATCAGAATCATTTTTATTGCCAACGTAAGTAACGGGAGGTCACAGACTTGGAAATTGCTTTGGCTCAGTGCAACAGTCAAAAAGAGATAATAAAAATAAGAATAAAAAACACTTCTAAAGAATAAATTTAAATTTAAAATAGAGTTACAGTTACTATTTACAATATACAAGTGCACATGGTGCACACAATGTAAGGTGACAGCAGTACAGTGAAGTAAAGTGACGTATGATGGGCAGTAAAGTGACTTTATAAAGGGCGGGGGGACAGGTTAAGAAGTGTTCAAGAGTCCAACAGCAGAGGGGAAGAAACTGTTCTTGTGGCGGGAGGTTCTAGTCCTGATGGACCGCAGCCTCCTGCCTGAGGGGAGTGGTTGGAATAGTCCATGTGCAGGGTGAGAGGGGTCGGCTGTGATACGACCAGCCCGGCCTCGAGCTCGGGCGACGTACAGGTCCTGCAGCGATGGAAGGCTGCGGCCGATCACTTCCTCTGCAGAGCGCACAATGCGCTGTAGTCTCTGTTTGTCCCTGACTGTGGCTCCAGCGAACCACACGGTGATGGAGGAGGTGAGGATGGACTCGATGATGGCCGTGTAGAACTGCACCAACATCTGTGCAGGCAGCTTGGCTTTCCTGAGCTGCCGCAGGAAGTACATCCTCTGCTGGGCCTTCTTGATGAGGGAGCTGATGGTCGGCTCCCACTTGAGGTCCTGGGTGATGGTGGTGCCCAGGAAACGGAAGGACTCCACAGAGGTGATGGGGGAGTCCATCACGGAGGGTGGGGGCGGGGGGACAGTGCTCTTCCTGAAGTCCACAATCATCTCCACTGTCTTCTGGGCGTTCAGCTCCAGGTTGTTACCACTGCACCAGGACACCAGCCGGTCCACCTCCCTCCTGTAGGCGGACTCATCGTTGTTGGAGATGAGTCCAATGAGGGTGGTGTCGTCCGCGAACTTGATCAGCTTCACGGAGTCGTGGCTGGAGGTGCAGTGGTTGGTGTACAGGGAGAAGAGCAGGGGAGAAAGAACACAGCCCTGTGGGGCTCCTGTATTTATAAATATTCATAAATTCTAGCACAACTTAAACACAACCATTGCTTTCAACTAAAAGGCTTTTCAATTTCCTTTCATCAAATAAAAGCATTTTCATGTATTTGTTAGATGGGCAGAAGAAAGTGAGCACACATTGATGAATTAGATTTCAATTTGTTTGACTTGATTCCCGGTCTGCTACTTTAGAGGCTGCAAACGCTCGACCGCCTCATTCTTATTAGGTTTCAGAAAACAAGGCGCGGGAATTGCATTAGTGTATCTTAAGTTAAAAGCTCTTTGCTCTTTGACAAAGTGTTTCATTGTTATTGGGGTAATCAGATTTTTGCTGTCTTCATGGAGATGCTATCACGGGCTGGAGGCAGCGGTGGGTAACCAAAGCAGCCGTGCACAGACACTATCCAGATGGGATCAGCTTACGGTAATTTGGTTTCAGAATACATTACCAGAAGAGACTTCTGGCCGAACATGACCACGGCACTATGGGCCCGAGCTGGACAGTCCAGTCGCCCCACTCCCTCATACTCTCCACTCTCAGTTGGGACCGGGCTATCATCAGAAACATGTTTTACACTGAGTTTGATTCAATTCTGAAATCTTGTTCCTTGTACCAACAGGGCTTTGTCCAATTCATTAGAGAGATTCCTGCGTCCCCTGGCCACGCTGGAGCCCTCTCATTTCTGGTATCTAGTATCATTACTTTTCCTGTAAATATGTCACTCAGCCTCTGTGTTGGGGGAGGGGAGCATGTTATCTCTCTGCAGGCCAAAGGGATGTACAGACAGGATGCCACATTCGGGATGCTCACATGTGTCTGTTGCTTAGTGCATTAAAAAAGTACATTTGTGACCATTTTTGAAGTAGTATTAAATATTCACACACTTCATACCTCAACTTCCTCAACACTTCAGAGACAACACTTTCTCATGAACACTAAGGCAGATGTATTTGCTCCAAAAAACAAAGTTACACGCCATAAAAGGCAATGAACCATCAAAAAAAACAAAAGAGAAAAAAAAAACATAATTAACAGTTCCAGTATTTGTAAGGCTTTCTTACCCCTTACAAACTGTTGTGCAAAGTCTGCCACTCATCACAGCACAGCTACATTCAGTCACTCAGTGTAGGAAGGCGCGTTGTGTGTGTGTATGTGTGTGTGTGTGTGTGTGTGTGTGTGTGTGTGTGTGTGTGTGTGTGTGTGTGTTGGTTTTGTTTTTTAAGTTGTGTTTGATCATTCATTCAACATTTACTCTGTGGTTCTCACAGGTAAAAAGGTGATTTGGGCTGGCTATCTGTGCACTCTGGTATTGAGCGTCCTTTTGTTATACTGTAAAGCTATGTTTCAGAGCTGTAATTGAAATGCATAATAACATTAGGATCGATGTTAGCTTTGTTTATTTATTGAATCAATACATAATGGTTCGTTGCAGCTGTAGCTGGGATCCTCCATGGCAGTTTAACCCAGGCTTTTTCTTATGCCTGGCGAGAGTGGTATCCAATGACCCATATTAGGTTTTTTCTGAGGGGGTTCAGATATTTGCCCATATTTGATTTCTGCATTGTGCTAGTACACAAAAATTGGACTGTATTCAAAACCAATCTTATGTTGTGTGTGAAACACAATTTGATTTTAGTCTTTCATTATTACTTTCTTTGTATAATGTTGTACAGTTACTGACCAGAGTAGCATTTTCAAATAGGTAAAAGATACAAAAAGTATCGTTTTTTATCTTTATTATTTGTATTGTGATATCAATATCAGAAAATGTATTTGAATATTGGTATCAGCTGAAAAATAAAACACATCCCTAATATGAAATAATTCTGAGGAACAGAACTGTGAGTTGTAGTTTAATAATCTGCAACCATCTTTGGAAAAAAGTTTATTAGTGGGCAGACCAGAAAAGTTTATTAGAATAGAATTGGGTCAACAACTTTGAATGTTTGAATATATAATTATATTCAAACTTTACAATGTAGGTTTGAATGTTTTTACTAATATGTATGTTAACATAAAGAAGCTGGTATTAGGGGCGGACTTGCTGACTTTACTAAATACTTTCAGATCAATAATGAGATTCCAAGATAGAATCATGATTAGCACAGAGGAAAGCACAGTATGTCTTCTTTAATGATTCAAATGTATGCTGAACTGAATATTGTTTTTAACTTGCAGCTTTTGTTAAACTCTATAATGAGATGAAAAGAAAAAAACAAAAGGTAAAAAATGATAACGAAGAAAAATAACCTAAATCAAATATTGTTCAAAAACCGCGGCTCATCTTGAGTGGGTTAAATGGGAGCGTTTTGCACGCAGCCTGTGACTGAGACAGAGCAAACATTTGCGCTGAGGATTGTGTTGAGATGCCTCCGCGTTCCTGATAAACCTGTGCTTTTCTGCCTCTTCATTATCATTTTCCTGTATGTCTGTGTTTGTTTCTATTTGGCTTTTTTAATGAACAGGATAATTTATGGCACAATTGGGACAGGCTCTTTGTCTTAAGCGGCTAGTGATTCCCCATAAGGAAAGATTAATGAAGTAATTTCATGCATGACTTTATGCCTCCATCAGTTGTGTCCACACCTGCAACATGCACCAGGCTGCACCAGTGCATACTCTATAGAACACTGTGTTTAAAAAGAGTGGTTCTGTGTACTTGTGTAATAGTTAAATACTATAAAACCACATTGTGTCTGAAAAAGGTCCACTGAATGTCGCTTTATCTAATTTATTTTTTGTCTCCCCATAATTGCACTAACTTACTTATATTATATAAATAGATATACATATATATATATATATATATATATATATATATATATACTTATTGCTCCTATTATGAAGCATGTACAGCTACTTATCTCTGTACATTTTGTGTGCTTCTTGTCCGCTCTTCATCTGTCTTATATGTGCACTGCAACACTGGCATTTCCCCACTGGGATGTGGGACGAATGAAGGTTCTCTAATAGTCCTCTAAATTTCAAGAAAAAAAGAAAAAAATGATGCTTATTGGGCCCCATGCAGGAATCTTCATCTTCGAATGGAGAAAGATGATCTGTTTTGGTGGCGGCGGTGCCCCTTGATAATGGGCACGTGCTCTTGACTTCCTGAACTGAGTGTGCTGTCAGAACTGGATCTGCCCCGAGCGGCCCAGACGGTTACGTCAGGCACAGCCGTGCTCCACAGGAAGAGGAGCAGATCAATAGATGTGATCTGTTCTGGAGCTGCTGGAGCTCAGGCTCATGTTGTCGTAGTGGAGTGAGCTCATGGCTTTATAAAGACCACTGCGGCTCGCTAGGCTAAAGCTAAATATAATACTCTGCGGCAAACTGAAAAACTTAATTGCCCAAGCCACAGCACGGCCTTGTCCCACAGTGGTGACCCAGCACTAGCATCCAGCCTACGGGCTATTGATCCAGGTTCTGGCCTTCCAGTGGTAGGCACGTGGGGAACTCACTATGTGTTTGTGCGCTCATGTATCACCGGCTTCCTTCTTTCCATATAACATATATTCTCCACATTAGCACATCATACATCTCTGTCAACTTTTCATCGGTGTCTGGCATATCTGTTAAGGCTGCCTCTGTTTTGCCAGAGCAGAACTAATGAATGGGAACATCTAAAACCAGGGGCCTCTCCCTCATAGATTAAAATGAGTCCCCCTGGAGTAGGGTTTGCCTCTAGCGCCAAACCACAGAACTGGACTTGTGTTTGTGTGGCTGCCTCCTGGACCCTTGCAGCCCATGTGCAGTGAGCCAGTGCAGCAGAGGGACTGGGACAGAGACTGAGACATGTGAGTCTTCTCTGGAGACCGCAGCCTTTAGTCCCTTGATAGTCATTAACCTGCTACCACGGCGTGCTCCATATTTCAGCTGAGTGTCTGAACCTCAATTCCCCCCTTTTTCCCAGGGGCGCACCGGACCCCACATCCATGTAATTTACATTTCCCTGGAGAGCTCTCACTCCTGGCGTCCTGTGACACACCTCAGTCTGGAGGTATTACTTTGGTTATAGTTGGTTTGGTGGTCTGTCCATGGGTGATGTGTGCGACAGTGGCTCCAGGAAAGGGTTAGTGTGACAGTTAAATGAGGTTCTCTGTGTTGAGAGCTTGTCTGTCAGGAGCTAATTGACTTGGTCCTTCGCTCCTCTGAATGTGGGGCCACTGCTTTTTGCGGTATCCTTTATCCAGGGCTCTCCTTTTACATGTGAAACAGCATCGCCTTTGCTAAATCACAGGAGACATTTGGAGAGGGTTGTACTGTAAAAAAACACCAGAGAAATGTGCAAGCTGCTCAGAAGGAATACCTACAAATTGAGTCAATTAGCTCCCGGATGTAGCGCGATTCCACAACACTCTGGTCTAATGTTCAGGGCTCTGGAAGTGCTGAGACATGAGGGAAAGGAGCTCTCCGATCTGTCCAGGAAGCGAGGAGGAGTGTGAGACGAGCTGGCGGATCATTAGCCCGCCTAATCCTGGTCACAGCACCACCACTGGAATGATATTAGAATCTGAAATGCAGTTAGGAAGGCCAGGTGGAATCAAATTAAAACCAAACTGCACAGTGTGCGATTGCCGGCCTATAACCACTACTCAGCATGAATCCTGATCGGTACAACGGGAACAAAAGGAGCAAGAACAGAGCAGAAAATAGAGAAAGGGAGATAGTGTATCTTAGACAAGCAGTGCTCCTTTGGGCAGCAGACAGCACTATTTCAAAAGCTCTGGAGCAAGACAGGACGTTTTTTCTGCACACTTCTTTCACACTGCCCTCTATAGCACACAGGCTAATTAGCATGTAGGCTTCCATTGAATTATGTATTAGGACTATTGCTGCTGTCAAACTATTAAATGTTCTTGATTCATTTTCATACACAGTTGTAGTTATAGATTCAAATTAGACCAAACCCATTAGAGAATACGAATATTTAAAGAAATGTTGTCGTCTGTTTGATTAATAACTTTGGTTCAAGTGGTTAGCATTGCCCTCACGTCATTAATCAATGTATGCAGCTTGTTAAAAACATAAGCATAGTCATAGTATAATGTGTCATAGTAGAATGAGTTAAGGGAGCCGCGCTCACATTTATTATAAATGACCACATAGAGCTGGAGGGGAAACAGTTAAGACATTTATGCAATTATGCTAAGTGTCACCCTGAGGATGGCCTTTGAACCAGGGTTAAGCTTACTATGAATTTGTGAAATAAAAGCTAAATGGAGCCATCTTCTCACTGTGTTTTAATATATAGCTTTTAATAAGCCAAGTGCAAGTGCCCTTTTACACAGGTGCGAAGATCCATCTAAAATCTAGAACATAAAGCAGATGAACACGGAGCAACATACGTTCATTCACACACAATTGGTGCATTTATTATAATCTTAAGAAAAAGTTAAATTTGTGTTGTTATCCTAGTAGCAAACATTTAACAATTTGAAAATAGTTGTATTTTCCTTTTATCTCTTTCCAATTCATCACCACATTTTGAAAATGTATTTGGTTGTTCAGACCAGAGAATGATTTCTTAAGGTCAACAGTTTTAACAGGGGCCATTTTTATTATTTATTTTAGCTGTTAACCTTTTTCAGAATTTCCAGAAGTGGTGGCACCTGGAGTTTAGATGAATATACATGACAGAATGGAGGAAAACCTGGGAATGAGATCTAATTTGACATGCTGACCTCGATCTCCAAGGGCCCAGAGAGGCAGGGTGAGAAAATAAGGCTGACCCTGTAACCCCTGGGCCTGAACCCCTCCGTCACACACCCTTACAATTAAATCAGCCTGGAGCCTCTGTGATGGACCAGGCTTCTCTCAGGTGTTCTGTGACGGACACATATCATCCAATCAGGTAGAAAGCGAGGACATCCCCATGCTGATGCTAAACTTACATGTCAAATGTGTAAACATTAGCATGAGCTGGCAATATGCTAATGGAGCTAATGTGGTAAGGCACAACATGGTCTGTCCAGCTGCCACTCACTCTGTGCTTCTGCCTGGATTTGCATAAGCCACACAAGGCTCAATTTTGTTAATGCAGGCAAGCGCCAGGGACCTTTGACCTCTGCTGCAGTAACCAATGCAAAGAAGTGTGTGTATATGTTCCTGTAACCTTGCCTTGACCCAAACGGGTCACTCTGTCTGCACCACAGCTCCAATTCAGAGAGCAACCATCTCCTCTGCGAGTCCGCTGCTGGAAAATAAGACTGCGTTGATAACTTGTTTTCTCCAATATTAAATTAAGTTTCATGATATGTGCAACGAAATTAGTGGAAAAAGTGGCAGATGGCTATTTCCAGCCCAGTAAAATATAGTGAGCCTACAATGGTTATTATTGCAGTACACAAGTTTTGCTCTGGCAGCTATCATTCACACAGACACAATGCAGCTGCTGTGGTGAGTGGCTCACCAAACTCTTGTTCTCTCAGAATGAAACAATATTATACACCATTTAAAATATATGTCTATAGAAAGATAGTTTATTTCTTCACCTAACATGTAAACATTACAGCAGAGATGTAATCTTTGTTTTGTCTGTCTTTCCCTCCCCCCCACAGGCTGCTGAATAGAATGGCTGCTGATGACCGGCACCTGCCTTCCAGTTGTGGGTCCTACATCAAAACAGAGCCGTCCAGTCCATCCTCAGTCATCGACACAGTCAGCCACCACAGCCCCAGTGGCAACTCTGACGCCAGCGGAGGCTATGTGAGCACCATGAACCACTCCAACGGCTTGGACTCTCCCCCCATGTTCACCCCCGGCGGGCTCGGCCCGGGATCCTGTCGCAAGCGCTATGATGACTGCTCCAGCACCATCATGGAGGACTCCTCTATTAAATGCGAATACATGTTGAACTCCCTTCCCAAGAGGCTGTGTTTGGTCTGTGGAGATATCGCCTCTGGGTATCACTATGGAGTGGCCTCATGTGAGGCCTGCAAAGCCTTTTTTAAAAGAACAATACAAGGTATATTTTAACGAACGAGAAACCCATTGCACTCATCTACACCTCACAGCAGACACAAAGTGACTTAAACTATTTAATGCAAATCAAGCTCAGTTCCAACTTGAGTCATTATACGGTAGTAAGAGTATTTTTGGGAGTGTTTCTGAGGCCTATCTTCTGATCCCTGTCTTGCTTTGTGTCTTGGGTTATCAGAGACTATGAGTTATCTTGAAGGCTGCTGCTGGTTGCTGCTGGGACCAAACTGCTACAAAGCAGCAAACACAAATGTTACACACCATGACGCATAATGCCTAGCGTACCTCGGACTGGCAACTGATCATATCCGTCGCATATGAGTTGCTACCCCGCACACATCGACAATCTGGCGAAAACGGGCAACTCCTAACAGCAGACCAGTCTCGGGAATAACAGCGCGTACCTCGACAGCAACTGGCCTTCAACTACAGTGTGTTTTCTGGCATAAACTGTAGAGGGCGCGCAATACACGCAATACTGAGGACAGCTAGTTGCCGAAAAGTAGAACACGGGCAACTGACTGAAACTGGAGATCGACTGTTTATCTCCAGTTGTAAGAGCGCTCACATTGACCGATTTCGGCAACTGATCATCTCCCATCATCTACTCTCAGTTGCCAAAAGCCACCTTGCAACTAGTTGTCTCTAGTTACTCTGTCGATGTACGCTAGGCTTAAAGGATACATGTAATATAAGATACAAGCGAAGTAGGTCTTTCAATATTTCCAGATAATCTTCATGAACAGATCATGTTTGGACAATTTCCCTGATAGGTGTTGATTTTGGCCCACACGGCTCTATCAGCTTTAGACAGGCTATGTACCTTTTGCCGACAAACAAAAGCGTTAGGCCAAATCCTCATGTTTGCTCATGCCTCCATCAACAATCCCGCTTTGAAAAAAGATGAGCATTATCTGTCAGACTCAAGTAACACAACAAGGCCTTTGTCATTGTACACCGATACCATTGTGGCATCACAATGGTACAAAGAAAAAACTTAAGTGGTACTAAAGCCCAAACAATTAAGTCAAAGGTTCACGGAGAAACATGGAAAGCTCTGCCACACTTTGTATTGTCGATTCAAAATCCCTCTTTTTCTTCTTGGAGGGCTGCCTGTAATGGAGCTAATCTGCCGTCGTTTGTCCGAGCCACAGGAGTTTTGTCAATAACAATCAGCGTTTGGAAAGTGTAATTAAGGCCGAGGCTTTTCATTAGGAGAAGGGTGGGGGCTGTCTCTAGGGACGGCCATGCCAATTAGAAACTCAGGCACGCGTCGCCGGGTAATTTCAGAAAAAGGAGGGGAAAAAACCCAGGACTTCTTTAGATTGGAGAGGGACCCTGCTGCTGCTTCAGAGGAGAGCAAGAGAGCCTTAATGGCATAATAATCAGAGCAGGGTCCAAGACGAGGAAGGCAGACCCTATTTGGGGGAGGTGTAAGCCTCAAAACTGATGAAAGGAAAACATGAACAGTTAGATGGAGAGTTCTTGAAGGGAGGAGAGGGCTGCTGATGAGAAGGGCTTCATTAAGTGCAGTTACATACTTGTCTGTATAATGACGACAAATGAGTCATTATCACAAACTAAATATGTTTTGTTTACCTGCTTGCATTTTTACATTGTCTGATCCCATGATGCACCAAATCAATCCATCATGGTGTTTGTTACAGAACATGAGCAACACAAATCCAAGCGAACATAATGGCAAAGATTCTGACTTTGAGTTGGATGAAGCAGATGTGGATAAACTTCCAACCCCTTCACTCATTCAACAAGGCAGTAGGAGAACATTATCTGATCCAAGAACAATACAAAAAGCAACAGAAAAGTACCACTATACAATATCACATATGGCACAACACACACACACATACAGGCCTAAACACTCTCTGACCCAACACCTCTGTCCACTAGTCACACTGAAGCCATCACTCTCTCTCCTCCACGTACTTCTTCTCACCTGCACCTCCCTTCAAGTTTAGTATATTTTGATGAAGCAGATGTTGATAAACTTGCAACTCACTTTATCATTCTACATGACAATACAAGAACATTACCAGATCCAAGAACAATACAAAAACAACAGAAAAATCCCACAATATAATATCACATCGGGCACAAGATGGCACTTCTTCAAGATGGCATTACAAGAACATTGCTAGATACAAGAACAATGCAAAAAACAACAGTAAAAAAGTAACAAAATGAATCATCACACATGGTGTATTATCACTTTTGCTATTGCTTGTCCCTCTTGTAAGGCGACGATGAATGCCTAGAAATGCGCCATATAAATTGAATTGAATTTATTATTATTAGGACACACATACAGGCCCCAAAACTCTCTGACCCAACACCCCTCCTTACTACTCACTCTCTGCTGAAGGCATCCCCCTCTCTCTCCTACACGCACCTCTTCCCACATACACCTCCCTTCGTGTTGAGTATATTTTCTACACTTCTGTAGCCGTTCCATCCGCCTGGTCCATTCTTTGCAAAAGAGATACAGTGAATATCCATCTTCCAGCAGTTACTCATTCAGAAAATGCCCCCTGAATCCCCACATGAAGATAGTTGCATTAGTCTAGGTCAGGTCCAAATGAATGTCAGTCCTGATGCCGATCCATCCTGGAAGTAGCTGCTCTAGGGCCGCTCCCCAATCATTGGCCGATCTCTTGACTTCTCCCGTGCCACCAATCAAAAACATGAGAGTGTGTTTTCTTCCCATTTTGAACCCAAGTGTAAAATTGCTTGAAAGCAACTGAACCCCTTGCCCTTCTTTTATATGAAGTAATAGACCTTGACAGAAAGCCTGTAAAAGTCACTTTAGATTTTGATGAGAAATACCTGCCATTTTAGTGTAATTTACTTACAAGACCTGACTTTCCCCCCTGTGCCCTGGCATGGGTCCTGAGAAGCCATAAAATAGATTGAGACAGATACTTATCAAGAAAAGAAAGAGGGACATCTTTTCTTCTCTTTTCACAATTAGGTTATTGGTAACCATAGCATAACCCCTAATGATGGATAAGCACAAGTCCAGCCAAGTCTCATTCCAGTAGGAGCATTCCTTGGTTTGAACTGGTATTGAGGCCTTTTTTTTTTTTAAAGTGTGCCGGACGCAAGTTTTAGAAAGAAAGATACACCGACTTTGTTATGCTTTTTGAATACTTGCAATGTATGGCTTTTGATAATAATGATAATGATGATATTCTGTTTTATTGTGCATTCTTAAAAAAAAAAAAAAAACTAAAGTAAATATTACAATGAAAAGTAATCTCTACTATGTCTTCTGTCTATCACTATGGAGACAAGCTGCACATTTCATCAGTAAGAATACCTGTAAATAACTACATTAAGGATCACTATAAACAGAAAAATGCAGACCCCAAGCTTGATCCTAAACATGATTAAAAACTTGAGTAATTCTGTCTAATTCTCGTCAGTATGTTTATATGGCTCTACAAATAATGATGCCATTATTATGCTCACTTCCCTCTGTAACAACAGACAGAACAAGCAGAGAAAAGACAATCAGAGCTCATCAGCCTCCTCCCTCACACCTTTATTTACCCCAATCCCAAAGAGATGAGAGGAATTAGCATAATGATTTCGATCACAGATATAAGCTGGAATTTCTAATTATTTATAACAACTTGGGACCTCCGACTTGATCTGTCCAATATTGTTAACATAATTGCCTAAGTTGTCAGAGGGCGTTGGTGGGCTTGTCTGGAGATGCCAGTGGAATCTCCCTCAGCCTTCGGTTACTTGTGGTATGTAAATAGCCATCACAATGTTGCAAATTCGGTTAGGGAAAGTTTATCCAGCTCTCATTTGATTATAAAGTAATGAGATGTATAGATTGCAACCTGGAACCTAACTAAATAGAGACAGGGAAATGCATTTTTTGGTTTTGGCAGGTATACTGTTTAGGGACAATATTTAAACTAGCCTCTGGCTCGTGATTGGCTGTGGCTGATGTAAGAGGCTTGTGAAAGGCTGGATTGGCAGGTGATTGGGTTGGTGGGCCAACTGAAGTAGATTCTGATCCACGTTTTGCTCAAGAACTCATCTGTGGGGATGTGAAAGCACCAAACAAGCACTCCCCCTGGTCCAACAGTCACTCCAGTCACACAGATCAGTGACAGTGTGAGGACAGTAGGGATGCAATGTTTTTTGTTTTTTGTTTGTTTAACAACATACAGTAAACATACATAGATTCAGTCGTACCATCCATTTATTTAGACAAGGCCTACAAAACAAATATGAAAAATATACAGACATTTACCGGGACCATCCTTAGAATACACACAATACAGTACACAACATATAACAACCATGATGGGACAATGTGTGTTTGTGTGTGGGATCTCAGTATCAGCAATATTGTGAAGGGGGGACAATAGAAGGTGGGATTGAATAAAAAGGTATATAAATATATTAAATAAACAAGAAATAATAGCAACAATGATAACTATATCTATTTAATCAAATAAGGGATTTTTATTAAATGTGACCGAAACAAAGCTTCATAAACAAAGAACATCTTCATTGAGACATGATGTAACATAATTAGTTTTTTGATTAGAAATACAATTCTAAAACAATTCAATGTCGAAGTTATTGCTTTGTCAGAGTTTTGGTCCATGTATGGTTCAAAATCGGACTTATTGATTACGACATTAGTTTCAACTATTTCAATAACTTAGTGCTAGAGGACTGTTACATTTACTCCTGAAGCTAACTGAATTCTCTTCACCAATATGTGGGAATAGGCTGGACTGAGTGAGGGTGGGAGACCGTCTCCTATCTGAACGATTTGCTATAGCTCCATTACAGCATGATTTCATAATACACTTAAAGTCTAAAGCTTAGGAAATATCAATGTCAAAAGCTCTCTCTTTTAAAGCCAATTCAAAAGCTGGATAATTCAAATTCCTATGAAGTCTCTATTATGCGCAATCCCTTTATTGAAAAGGCCTGGAGTCAGTGAAATGTAAGGAACCAGAAAGGCAGCGGAAGAATATCTCGACCTATTACTGATGCAGAGGCGCACCAGAGACAGCTCTTTTATTGTGCAGCAATGAAACTCTTTTTCATTGGAGTCGGACCTCTGAGCTGAATAATGCATCAGGGCCCTCTCCGCTGCTCTATGTAAATAGTCAACAATGGCAACAGCGGTAACAACAGCTTTGGGTTTGCTTCACTATTCTGTTGTGGTCAAAGGGACATGTCCAACTCTACGGCCCGAATACTGTGGCTATAGCAGGACCAGAAGAATAGAGCAGTTTCTGTATCAAATCAGGCCAATCTGATCCAACCCTAACACTTATATTTTGACATGTGCTCTTGTTGAGTGGTTTTGTCCTATTTTAAGCCTCAATGGTATGATTCAATTTTATTTATTCAATTAAATGTACTTTTGTATAGCTCTCAATCATACCAGCAGTCGTCTTGGAGGACTTTACAAAGTTGTCAATTCGCCAACAACAACAATCACACAGTTAAAACAGGAATTACAACAATGACAAACACGGACAGTGGGGCTGTTCTACAGTCTACTCAGGCTGTAAAACAAGGTCTGTATGGTCGACTACTTAAATGATGGGGCTGTACTATGACCAAAATCTTGAGCTGGGTATCTTTCAGAGCCTCTCAATACCATAGGTAACTAGATACAGGGAACTTATATATATATATATATATTTCAGTGAAAAAGCAAAAGCTGTTTTTACAAGGACCCTGCAACAGTCAAACGTCAGAGTTGGGAATCGGATTGGCCTTTCATTTATGGTGTTTCAGGTGAAAACACAAGCGTTGAGAAACGCTCCAGTGTGGAACAGAACAAATATGCTGCTCAGCTGGGGGCTGTTTCACAGCTGTGTGATACTGTACACATGTAGAGCGCTACATAGAAGAGATTTCTACTCCTTCAATCAAACAAAATCATGCCAAGCTGTAGTTTCAGTTTCCATTTTTGCTGCTGCTGTTGAATGCAGAATGATGTTGGTGCATCCTCTTCCATCTATGCGGTGGCCTGAGGAGGATGTTGTTGAGAAAGTGATTATACTAGAGGGGGTCACGTGTGATGTGTTATTCCACTGCCCACTACTGGCCGGGGGCTTTGAATACAGAGACTGGTCGGTTTGGTTATTGCTTTGTCTCTGTCTAAACAGGGCCTCTAATGGTTTAGGTGAGCAGTAATGATAAGAAAGGTGCAAAGTGCATTTTTTCAGACCAGAAACTCCTGACAACCTAAATAATATGTCCCCCTATAGCCTCGCTGCTTTATATATTATTAAGAAGAAATGTGTCATGTTTAATCTCTGTATTTCATTACTGTATTATTGCTTTAGTCATTGCTATCCTTGTGAGACTAGATCAGGGGTTAGCAACGGTTGAGATAGAAGTAGAGAAAAGCCTCAAACAAAAGGTGCAATCTTAATTTTATTTACTATTTTATTTTATTTTATTTTTTAAACATACTTGTTAAACTATTGAGTAAAACGAACATAATTTACACAAGAATAGGTAATATTATCCGTCTTGGCTAAAGGTGCCATTACATAGAGATTGCCTTCCCAAGCAGTATGATAAAGAAATGATATGCCGTTCTCTCTAAAACAACTATTAAACTTGAACACATATGAAATACAAAAACCACATTTTACAAATATTGCTTACATATATTCCTTCTCCTTTATCGGATCTGTTTTTTCTCAAGTTTTTCTCCTTCTCTTGCAGGGAACATAGAATACAGCTGTCCCGCCACAAACGAGTGTGAGATCACAAAACGGAGACGCAAGTCGTGTCAGGCCTGCCGCTTCATGAAGTGTTTAAAAGTGGGGATGCTAAAGGAAGGTAAGGAGACATGTCCTACTCACTGCTCTGCCCATTTGGTGTACGATTGTGTTTTTTTATAGGGAAAGGCAAGTTCATACACAAGGCAACTTAAAGGGTTTAACAAAACAAACAATCACACAAGGCATTCAAATCATAAATAAATACAGAACACAAAAAAAGTCTAAATACAATCCTTCAGAACTGTTTTCAACCTCGATTTGAACATTGTCAGAGTAGAAGCCTGAATATTTTTGGCTGCATAAATATAAAATGCTCCAAATCTATAGACAGTGTCAGGGGAAATACAACAGAATACTGAATACCCCCATTCATGCATTCTGTCGCATGGTTCAATCAGATTATCGGAATATTATTTATGTTGATTTTGATATTATTAGGGGATGAGAGTGGCTCAGATGGTAGACCCACCTGCAGTAGGATCAGTTAGGGGCTGGCGCTCTGTGAATGGCGGCTCTGACTGCCACCCCCCGACCCAGAAATGGATTAAGGGGAAGAAAATGGATGGATGGATATCATTATTATGGAGTAAAGACCATTTACCATGAACATATTTTGTTTTTCTGTCCATAAGATGTCTCCCTGAAACTTAAATTGTATGACCAGTTTGAGTTTTTTCTTTAATTTTATTTCAGGCAGTTCTTTGTGACCATTTCAGGCACAAAAAAATAAGGTCAAAAAAAGGAATAGGCAGAAGCTGAAGCATATAGACACCTACACTTTAGTATGCATGTTAAAATTCAATAGCGCTACACACAAGCAAGACACACACACATTCACTCACACTCTCGCACTCACACACACACACATATATTTGCTCTCTTTCTCACACACACATTCACATATATGCTCTCTCTCTCGCTTTCTCTCACTCACACACACACATTAACACACACATTCACTCACACACACAGACACACACACACTGTTGCCCTGCAGCCAGTGGAGACCAGGATAAATGGATAAACGTCAATACATGTCACATTTCGCTACATGTATTTTGTTACTCCCTAACACTGTGAATTGATTAGACACATGGGGCAAACCAATATTATAGTTTTAAATAGATTCGGCAAAAGCCAAGCCAGAGATTTGGACTCTTGTTATATTCCATAGCATCCATCCCAGTATCTGTCCTCCCACCAGCGCAAACTGGTAAAAAATGTGCAGTTGAGCTGGGGACAGAGAAATGCTGAATAGGTCGGTCACTCGGCCTGAGTAATAGAAATGTAACCGTAGTCCTCCTGGAAGGGCTTATGCCAGGTCCCCCCAGCGCACACACACACACACACACACACACTCAGCTCTCCACGGCATATTGATCCGCTAAATGTTTTTCCGAACATCTCAGCTCTCTTCCTGTGGATGGTTTTTTAAAGTCACGCCAATAGGGAATACTGTGACAATTAAACACGCTTCCGATGGATTTGTCTGGCTGCCCTCCTCCTCCGTCCACATGGTCCCCCCCAAAAACCCCCAGAGACTCCACCGGGGGAACCACCTCTCCATCCTCCTCCTCTAGCAGATTGCATTGCACTAGTGGTTTTTCAGTAGCCTCACTCTGACGCACTGTCTGCTCCCGTCAAAAAGCCCAGAGAAATGAATAATGAAAGATGTGTGGCTTGGGGTTAAGTGGTGTTATTACATTTATTCAAACCTCCTATGGGAGCTAAAAGAGAATTTCTAGCTTTTTTTCGCTATCTTAAGTTGTTAAAGGCAGCCCACCTAGAGACGTGACGCTACTTTATAATGCGCTCATGCTTTCAATCAATTTAGAAATCCGATGAAGAAATCTTGGACAATTCTAACTTTCGCGTTTTGTATCTTCCCAATGTAATTTTTCTGTCGTCAAATTCCTCAAATACAACTGGCTTTATTGATTCAAAACATGCCAGTCATTGCATTGAATCCCCTCCAAAAGCATAAGACTTGGCCCTAGCGGATCTTCAGACAGTAACAGAATCCCCTGCAGCCTGATAAAGCCCTGTGCCAGAAAGATGGAGTAATCGCATTACTATCTGATGAAAACCTATGCCAACATATCATCTCGCAGAATAAGAGGCTGTAGAAATATGTAGCCTGTAACCAGTGTTGAGGAGAGTGTGAAACCAGAGGGATATATTGAAATATTGACTGGTGGACTGGACTCTCACCAAATTCAGCCAAATGAGATCACATTTTTCAAAAGGAAAACACAGTTATGATTATTTGCAGTTTGTAAATCGTAAAGGCAATAACACAAATAGGCCCACAAAAATAGGACTAGAATAAGTGCTTGAATTAAGATAGAGGAGGACTTTACAAAGTTGTCAATTCACCAACAATAGATCAGAGAATCAAACAACACAGAAAATGCAATAATAACAAACACATAGGCGCTATTGGTCAATAGGGAGCTTCTGAGTACTGTCCATAAAACACATGACATGATCTTGTTTCATACTTTAGTTAAAACCGGACTTTAAAAAAAGAGTAATTGTTAAAACCTCTCACTTGTTTTAAAATGTACAGTCTGAGATTATTATTTCAGAAAATGTAAATCCACAAATCCACCAACAACGAGCTATAACATACATTCGTACATGTTTTGAAAAGTGGACTGGTGAAACAGATGCTCATAAAGTCAAACAGACGCTCATAAAGTTCCAACCAAAACTTCCTTTGGCGCTTCATATACCAGTCCTCTCTAAAAAACATGTCTAAAGCACAAATCTAACTGCAATCACAATGTTTATCAGTGAGAAATAGCATAATAAGATATTTTGCCTTTATCCACTGGCCTGCTCTACCTGTGAGTGTGTGTCGAAGCAGAAACACCACCTTTTGTGTTTGCAATGTAGCCTCACGGAGCGAGAAAGGGCCATCGCTCTCGTGACTGAGGTCTATTGGTACGTACTGTAGAAAGGTCAGATTGTGTCAATGGAAATGCCCTAATAATATCTTTACACAGTGTGCACCACTCTCGCTGCAGTAGTAGGAAAGCACAGGAAAGGATGACTTGAATATTATGAATAGCTTGCAGCTGTCAGACTGTACAACGAACAATGAGGACTAACACACACTGCCGACCTGACCTCACATGTCGTGCGTCTGTGCAATAATTTGAATAATGTCAGGATGTGCGATATAGAACCACATGTGTCCACTGTCACTTTATTAGTTACTTTGGTCATGCTGTTAACATGTACAGATGTAAACAAACATATTTATTGCACTATAAAACACACTACTTAGCTTTTGCTAATGTTAGATCTTTTTTTCTTAATTCTTTATTATGCTAAACTTAGAGATTGTATTTTATTTTAGGATATAGTTTAGGCAAGACTCATTTGCATTTGAACGGCACAATTCATACACAAGGCAACTCAAAGTGCTGAACAAATAAGATAGAGACAGTCACACAAGGCATTAAAATCATACATTAAAAATACCTCAGTTGTATGCACAGCTAAACATAACTATATTGTGCTGTGGGCTCCTCATTCCTTCTGCTCTGAAACTGGTGATGCAACACTGAAATTTCCCCACTGTGGGAGGAAAAATCTTAATCTTAATTATTATAGCAGCGAGTGCATTACTAGAGCGAACAGTGCTGATAAAGAGCGGTTTCTTGGAGGAGTGGCTGTACTATCCTGACTGTATAAAAGGGGAAGTGATCAATAGAAGAATCAAATGTCAGGGCCAACAGGTTTTTCCTCTGATCAATGGAAACGGATCAGAGCTTAGAGCGAGAGAGAAGACAAGATACTATTGAGAGATTACATTGACATCATTCAGTGGCAGTAACACTTCCTTATCCCTCTCTGCTCTGAGCCGCGTCCCGCACTCACAGACCTGACTGCATTGTCTTATACTTTTGCACATCTCACTCACCCTGACTATTGTGTACTCTGTAAGCCCTAGAGGAGTGGACAAAAAATTGTTTCCGTTCAGTATCGTGATATTATACGCACGCAAGTGAATCAATACAGTAGAGCAAAGTATTGTGATATTTAATTGAAATATTATCTGCTTGACTTTAGTGTTTTCTCTGAGTTTATTCTGAAATATTCTGTGTTTTACATATGAGGTTTATGTTCCTCTATGATTTCTGCTTGTTTCGACTCTAGTCTGTTGTATTTGAGTAATTTTAGTTATTTGCTGGGAGTTCACCATTCATGTGAGAGGTTACCTTCAGAAAATAATTATGTTTTGTCCTGTATTAAGGTCCTGTGTCATGAATTTTCAAGGATTATTCATTTACATTTACATTTACATTTAAGGATAAAGTTTTTGCACTTCGTTTTATGTGCGACCATAGTTATATAATATTTGAGTTGAGCATTCTTATTTTCCTCATTTTGTATAATGCCTTTGAATAATATGAGGCACATGAATCGCCAAATATTGCAGAATCAAATATGTTAAAAATCGCACATATACTGTATAATGAATTTTTGCCCAAATATTACGATACTATCGAATTGTCACATTTTTGCCAATTCCCACCTCTAGTAAGCACCCCTGATATTGGCTCGCTGGGGTCTTATGGTGAACCTGTAAATGGAGCATATGCCAGAGCTATCACTGGCAGCGTGGGGTCAGCAGGTGAAGCTCGCGGGGCAGAGGCGTGACAGTTTTTCCACCCCTCTTGCTCATCACCCGTTGTGATTAAAAATTCTGTGACACGCTGCAAGCATGCAAAGCTGGCAAGATGGCCCTTTGAAATAGTGCTGATGGCAGTTTAGCGGGCGGCTTCCTTGAAAGGCAAGGTTCAGTATATGCCTTACCATGTGGCCTTCTGATTTTCCCAGCTAAAATAGGGTCTGCCTTAAGCCCCCTCTGGCATTGCCAACCATCCCAGACATCCTGACACTTTCCCCAGGGAGAGACATCAGAACAGGTGAGAGACTCAAAATAAGGACCCCTGCTGCGGTCGGCTGGACAAAGTGAGTGAAGACAGCCCCTTTTGTAGGCGAGTGCTTGGAAGGGGATTATTATTGTTTTCAGAGAGAAAGAGGAGCTTGGGGTCAGCTGGCCCTTGCCCCTACCCCGGGCCAGTGATAATCTGTGCATAAATGCCAGCCGCCTTGGCCACAAGCCGTCTGTCCCAGCAACTCGCTTTGAAGACATGACACCAGAGCCCAGTCTGCTCCCCTGGTCACAGTGTAGTGGCACATGAAGCACTGACATGAAGTGGTACACCACCCTTTCACACTTTTATAAGACACCTACTGTTTACTCGAGTCAGAGCACTTGAAACTGTGAGAGCCAACAAAGAGACATCAGAAGCGACACAAAGGCTTCTTTAAAACCCTGGCAATGGCACACAGCGGACCAGTCAAAGAGTGTGCCTCTGCTTTGAGTGTGTCCGACAGTAAACTGAGACAGGTTAGTGCCAAGCTTTAATTCCTGTCAGCATCTGTTAATTATGGACAGGACTATTCTAATTAAAAGAGGCACCATCTACCTTCAGAAGTGCACCGGGCTCACGTAGCCACATGACTTCACCTGGTTAAAGCTGAGGACAAAAAGGCACATAGCAGAATGTGTACAGGTTTCTCATGTTTCAGACGAAAGCGGATTTTTATGGAAACATACACAAAGAAGGCAGAGAATATTTGAAGCTTTTCCTGCGTTACTTGCGTGTGTGTGTATGCTCAGGGAGCTTGTGTCCTACTGTTGCTGGAAAGACTCAGTTGGGAGATGGTATAATTGGGTTAGTGGGTTGTCAGTGTCAGGAAATTGAAAGACAATTCTAATCAGATCTTTGTTTCAAGGGAATCAAATCATTTTGCCGTGAGAAATGTCCGCAGTTACATTGCAGCGATGTATGTTCAATTATTACATTGAGTCCACATTATTGTCCACTGCGTCCGCTTTGCCTGTACTGCTGCTGCTACTGCTACGCCTGCTGCTCCTGCTACTGCTGCTGTACTTGCGACCTCTATCCAGCGCATGGGACACATCCAAACTCATCCATTCCAAGAGCACTCGCTGATGGGCAAATTGTATTAGGCTCATTTGCAGTGGCTACACAATGCCCAGGTTTGACACCATTCTCCCTGTTATAAAGTGATGAAACCATCAAGGAAGTGCTGTGGCTGCGCCTGCCGCTCACTCAGAGGACACAGGACGCTGACAAATTAACTCCTCCTCCTCCAACAGCAGTACACTCAGGACTCTCCCATCCACCTTTCTGTATTCAATTTGTTTAGGAGGTTATTATGCACACAAGGCAAATTGAAAAGGATTCTCCCTGTTGACAGGATTAAGATATCAGGCTGAACTGAAGCTGCACAGTCAAACAAGGAGGTCCGAAATAGACACATTTGCATAGCATTACATTAAATAACAAAATACCTGCCTCGGCTTCCACTATCAAATAAACAGAACAACACTGAAGACATATTTTAACAATGTTGACAATTAATTCAAGAGAAAAGACATCCAAATGGAAACATCCTTATCAAATAATGAGATAATAAATAACTTATGTTATGATGAGGCTGGTTTGACATTTACAGTATCAGTGCAGGACCTGGCCTTTAGGTGTGCTTGGGGGTGATAAGACTGCGGCGCTGCTCCAGTGAAAGAGGGGTGAAATAAGGTTGTTTTATGGGAAAGCAATAGGCAGGTATTGGTGCAGAATGACAGCAGAATACAGGGATTGCAAACCCCCTACACGCAAACATATACGTACTCACACAAACATATAAACACGCAAACACAAACGCACGTCCCAAAATGCATGTAAGTGGCATCTAATTAGTATGCTGTCTGTCTCACCCCAAAAGCTAAATAATTAGAGGGCCAGTCTGTGAGATCACTGACCCCGCGTTAAATATTCATATGTTTAGACCTGCTCTGGGCTCAGCTGTGTCACACTAGACCAGCCAGGCATGGACCACATATGGGAGGACAGCAGTGCGTCTGACACACACTCCACCGGCGTCACGCTTCTCAGGAGTCAAATCCTTCTGAAAACAGTTTAAAGAACAAATATGATGCATAATTTGTGTTCATTTTTGCCCTCAAACATCTCTACTTCTGCATTTTATAAGCGAATAATGTTGTAATATGGTTACAAAAGTAGGTAAGTAGTAAGTCATCTTCATCTGTGTATAGTATCTCTCAGACCAAGGTCACACTTGGCACTTTACAATTTTTGTGTGCTAGTAGTTTCCTTTTATTCTTTTTATTTATTTATATTATGTTCATGCAGTGGGATTCTTCAAGCTTTTACTTCTTACCCTCTCCATTTTCATCTGATAAATTGTAAATATTAATACTTAGGAAAAACACCAAGACATTGTTAAACTGCGGTAATGACTGTTGCTTGATTGTATTTATATTTGCGTTTATATGTGCATACTACAAGCGCAGTAGGCAATTTAACAATGTACAAAAGTATCTCAATGTAAATATTGTTAATACTTATGATACTTATGTATAATTTCTAAAACAAATAAAATCAATCAATCAATCAATTAATTCCACACACGGTGATGACAGAAGCGGGACGCTGAAAATCACTGTCTATTCACTCTCTATACATTCATTCTATGTTTGTAGTTGTAGGGGAAACCAGAAAAGCCTAGAGATGGAATCGAACCCAGGACTTTGCTACCGTAATTTTGCTCGATAACAGGCAGTATTCTTCTATTATAGCTATCACTTTTAGCTCTTATTACCCGTTAATCATATACTCTTCGTTCTCGTCTGCCTGTTGAAATATTTGGCAACCTTAATAATGAACTAATGTATGCACTATTCTGTCTCTTCTCCCAGGTGTACGTCTGGACCGTGTGCGAGGGGGCAGACAGAAGTACAAACGGAGGCTGGACGCAGAGAACAACCCTTACCTGGGGCTGACCCTCCCCCCTCCCACCAAAAAGCCCCGTGAGTACTGCCCATTGTCTCCCACCTCCGCCGTCCCTCTGCCAGGCCAGCAAGCAGGTAAAACTATAGGACCCTCCCAGCTGAGTAATAACACACCCCTCCCTTTCTTTGGACAGAATGTAGGCCAAGGCTCTGATCGCTGAAATATGAGAAAAGTGGCACTAGTTAAATCTATTAGTTTATACACACAAAGGCATTGATGATAATAGACTATAATATTTGACTTCTGCTGTCTGTTCTCAGTCACAAAAATAGTATCGCACTTACTGGTGGCCGAACCAGAGAAGATCTACGCCATGCCAGACCCCACCATGCCAGAGAGCGACATCAAGGCCCTGACCACTCTGTGCGACCTGGCAGATCGCGAGCTTGTCGTCATCATCGGCTGGGCCAAACACATCCCTGGTATGGACTATTTTTACGTATTACACATATTTTTAGATGTATAAATGGCTAAAGTAAAAGCTTTGTATAAACTAAAGTGGAGCTACATGTGTTGTAACCACACGAGGGTTGAGGCGTATTTGTGCTCCTGTCAGATCATAAGACACACACTTATGCAAGTAGACACAGCCGCAGGTGCACACACAGTGAATTATTGATGGTTATAATCATGTTTCTTCCTTGGCCCTTACACATTCTGATGGACAAGGTGTGAGGTTAGAAGTGGCTGTTGAATTAAGAATACAGCAGCTCACGTCAGCAGAGATTTTTTTCAAGTCTTTTGCTCTGATTTTGACACAGGAAACATTGTTTAGACCCTCTTTTTTGCAAGCCAGGCAAATTCTGCTTGATCTCGCTCTTGACCTCCATAAGTCTATAACATTAAAGTGCTGCCGGCATACGGGAGTCACAAAGTAAATGAATACGCCCCTCTGTGGCTCCTCCATAACCTCTAGCTCTCATCAGCATACAGTATATTGGACAGGCACAAGTGTCAGCAAAGGAAGTGCACTTTGAGGCCACTCGTCCACACAGACAACACCAATAATATGCTTTCTTTTTGGTGAGAGTTGTGGACTCCACCTGACCTCAGTCAAGTAGTTTTTGTACTGAAAAGGTTTTAGAGCTCTTCTCAGAAGGAGGCTATTAATCAGCACATATCTGATAGTAAGGAGATTAGCCCTGGATGTGCCGCTGTCCTGGACTGAGCCTGGATCACTGCTGGGATCTCTCCCGCGGCCCTGCACCGTCAGCACGCCCAGAGTTTAAACAAGAGGCTTATTCAGGACTGGATCACTACTGACCTGATAACACACTCAGTCTGACCCAAAAATGACACAGATGACACACATGTGGCAGAGCTGCTGCTGCCAGACGTCTGTACAACAGTGTGGACCATTTAAAAAGGCTCTGGTGGCTGCCACAGGTGACTGTTTCTAAGGCTGAGTGCTGATGTCAGGCTCACTGCTTCTTCAGTCTCACTATTAAACACAAGGTTTTGTCTCACAGACAGTGTTCACAGAGAAAACTAACATGGAAAGTGTTGATTATGTAACTGTGAGTATGTAGTGTGTTAATCAGATTATATGAGTGCAGGCTGCATCGTACAGCGGATATCATCACAGCGATAATAAGATTTGTCCTAGACAGTGTTCTTCCAGTCGATAATGATCATTTAACCCAAAACCTGAGGCATAAGTCTGATTGCCTGTCCTGAGTGAAGGGACAATGTGCTGCACATGCACTTGTGTATCAGCGTTTAAGTAGATTATGATGGGCTCGTGTGTCATTTGTTGTGTAAAGCTCAGATACAACCACAAAGTTTGTGCATGACAGATACAGTGGTTTTGGAGCTTCCTGTGTGAGGACAGTCGGTGTCCTCTGGCCATGAAATGCCACATAATTGAGTTGTACATGGCTGAACCTGATCAGAGACGGTTCACTGGTTGAGTGGGACTCCATGCACCAGTGGAACCTCAGGGCAACCAGCACTCACTGTGGGCTGCAGTCTGCCTCCTCTCTGCACAGAACAAGGAGCTAGAGTGGGAAAGTGCTGATTACATTTTGATAGATTTTTTGCAGCCTTAGGCAGTGGTATTAAAAGGATTAACTGTTCATTATGAAATAGACCACATTGATTAGGCGATTGACAGATGGGCCGATAACCCAGGTCGAAATGTAACTGTTTAAGCGTCATAGAAATTGGCACTTACTCTCCCTAAATTGGATTATAATTCCCCCGTTCTGTACTAATGTTTATACTAATTTTGAGTAACTCTATTTATCACAGTCTGGCCTTTTCAGAGTAAATACACATATACATAAAAGAAGACCCTTGCATAGACATAACTGTATCATGATCCAGGTGTGTGATGTAGGGCTTCTCTTAACGATACACAGTGTGGCGGTCCAGACACTTGTCGAGGTTCCAGCTCTCTGAAACAGACTGTAGCTGCCTGAGGCCCAGGGTCATTAAATGCAGTGGTAAGAGAACGCTGACAGATGGCCTGTTGCTCCTGAGGTGCTAACTACCTCTGACACTCGCGCACACACACACACACTCACAGACACACAAGCTGCACCTCTTGCCTCAGCTCCGCTCCTTCGATAGGACTCGGACATTTACATCTGTTCTAACATCAAAAAAGCAAGATTTACGTTTTTCTCTGACAATGGGCTTCTAGCTTGAGTGTGTCTGGTCTCTTTCCAAAATTCCAGGATGCAGTGTTTTCAGCTGGGAGCCCGCTGGAGGCTGAAAGGCCAAGTAAACATTGACTCTCACCTCTGCTGATTTGCTCCTACACAAATAATACATATTTTTACTCTGCCATGTTAGTGTTAGTGCGCTCTATGTTTAAATAGAGCCAAAGCCTGTGTCATTCCAACGTCCTGTTTTGTTTGACATTCAGAGCCATTTGCTACAGCTCGAGTCCAGACTATAACCAGGAAGTATGACCACTTTAGTCCAGTCCTCAGGTCTCTGCACTGGCTTCCTGTGACTCAGACAATAGACTTTAAAGCAGCTCTTCTTGTGTACAAGTCTCTGCATGGTTTCGCACCTATGTACATCCAAGACATGTTAGTGACATATGGACTTGGACTCTGAGGAGCACAGGGGCTGGCCTCCTGCTGGTGTCCAGAGTCAGAACAAAACATGATGAGGCAGCATTTCAGATTTATGCCGCTAAAATCTGGAACAGTCTTCCTGAAAATGTGAGACAGGCTTCTTTTCTGACAATGTTCAAATCCAGGTCAAAAACAATTCTGTTTAGCTGTGCATATAACTGGAGGATTTTATTTTTACCCATTTTAATGTACGGTGACTATTTATTGTGTGACTGTCTCTACCTTGTTTTGTTCTACCTTGCTATAGTGCATGTGCTTTACAAATACACTTGCCTTACCTTGGGTGCAAGAACCTTGTCCACCGCCATACGCCTCCATGTTTATTGTGTTTCCCATCAGCTTGGCTCCTTGACAGACAACATCCTTCCGCGTTGTTAGTGCTGTAAAGAGGACACCAACGCCTCTTGTATGTTGTCTTGTTTTCAGCAGCCACCCAACACCACCCCCGTCCCCATCCCCCTCTGAGGCCCCCCGCGTTTTTCTCTTTCCCCATTAAATTGCGAAATCTACTTACTGTGTTGCAAGCCTGATCCCGCTCGAGCTGCGTAATCTCCTTGTAATAGAGTGTGAATACTGCCCAGCAATAAATCAGCAGCTCATCAGCGTACTTTATTAAATATAGATACCAAACAGACAGCTCGAGTATATTCAATTTACCTTCTGACGTAGGATTCAACATGGGAGATAAAGATAGATAGAGCAATCAGGTGCATGCTGAGGCTCAAGCCGGAGCAGGAGAGGGGCAGATTGAGACGAGGCGTGTTGATGGAGGCTGACAGGGTTTAGACACAGCACTCAAGTTATGACAGACACACTTTTCGGACACTTACTGGTCAATCTGGCCATGTCTCACGTCGTCACACATTTCAAGGTTTAGAATTGTGTGTTTATTTGATCTGGGACAATGCACAATGAATATTTGTCTTGTAAAATTTGAGATATCATGTGTCAGGTTTTTGTTGGGAGGTAAAAACAGAAGAAGCAGCCAAAATGCAGGACAGGCAAAGATTGAATGCACAAAACTCAACAATAGCAACATCCAAGATATTTAATTTATTGAGTTGTTATTGAAGTCAAAATATGAAAACAAATGCAAAATATAAAAACAAAAAGACTGAAACGAAATTTAAATAAAATAGAACCATATTTTACTAAACTAACTATTGTATCTAGTTTAAAAATATCATTATTTATCTAGAAATCTTTTTTTTTGCATACTCCTAGACAAGTTGATGATTTGATTGTAGTAGGATGACTATTTCAAAGTTCAATTACAATATTTTTAATTTGCTAATAGCCCTAAATCACAACAGCAGTCGTTACGGAAAAACAGTTCAGAGGAAATGCAATAATAGTAAACACGTAATGTAGGTCCATAGGGGGGAGACCAATGTGCTTAAATGTCATAACATAGCATTCCATGACACCAAACAGAAAGGGAGCCAACTCGCCTCAAGAGTCAGCAGATCTATCCCACAAAGTTAATTTGTTATTTTTCATATGTGCTGAATTTCCCCCTAACATTATAGACATGTTCTCCCTGCTGCTAAATGTACGTTCTAAATGGATTCACCTATTCTGTCCCCTGCTACAATGTGAATCTCTATATTCTGGCGATCCCTAAACAATCAATAATGATGGACCAGACGCTTGAAAATTCATGTTCGTCGCAATTTTTTCAGCCATAATTGTTTTTCCAGTCAATATTGTATAAACACATGCTGTGTGCTCCTCTATAGGGATGTGTGGAGGCTTTGTGTATTACAAGTTAAATATGGCATTGATTTATGTGGAGGCCTCATTTGTTTGTTTTCCATTCCCATTCCTGCCTGCTAGTTGTAACTCTTCCTAGTATTCTTCCAGTGTGAGATTGTGACACCCAGCAGCAAATACGTAACATACCAAATAATGTCTTCAGAAAAATCATCACTTAATCCAGCTGTTTCGAGCGACTAAAAATGGCATCCCCAAAATATTTCATGGCCACAATATCCTACTTTGTTCCCACGAAATAGCTTTGTTTTGCTCATGTTGGTGGAGGGGCTTGGTACATTCATCCTTTTTCTTTCTGTTGTTAACATAAAAATTCTTAAGTAATTTATTGAAAGTATTGACTAAAATGAACTCAGTGGTAGAGTGGATTATAATATATCGATGTGGTTTAAAAAACACAGTCCCTCACTGAAACTTTCTGTTTCGCAAATTTTTAGGGTATATTTTTGCGTCATTATTGTACAGCGTGTAACACCACGATATAAGTAAGTATTCTATTTATATAACGCATTTTGACAGACCAAGCTCACCCAAAGCGCTTTACAATGTTCATAGTTCAGATA